CACACCTGCCCCTAACAAGCTCTGCTCGCTGTCACACCTGCCCCTAACAAGCTCTGCTCACTGTCACACCTGTCCCTAACAAGCTCTGCTCACTGTCACACCTGCCCCTAACAAGCTCTGCTCACAGACACACCTGCCCCTAACAAGCTCTGCTCACAGACACATGCATCTACAGAAGTAGGAGGAGACATCAGAACACAACTCAAAGATAAATGTTTGAGGGGAAAACATTGCCAGACTTAACCATAACCACAGAGCTTGCTATAGGCCGGGCTCCAGATGTATTCCTCTCCACCTACATCTCAAGCCCTGTGACAAGCCTGCATTCCACAGAGCCAATAGCCAAGGCACAAGAGGAATCAGGCCACCTGCCGAAGACCACAAGAAGACTTCAAGTTCACGACGACTCGCAAACGCCTCCTGTGGGACCCAGAGTCACTAGGTCTAATATTTTGACGAGGGACCCTGGGCAATAGAACAGAAGTGTGGGTGCCCCCTGCCCCCACAGGGGGGAGTGGGTAAGGGTCTCCCCCTGACAGCCGATCCCTGCGGCAAGGCAGGGCTGTGAACCATTTGAATCAACAGGGAGAGAAGGCACCGGAGAAGATGAAAGTTAGAAAATCCAGGAGAATATTCTGGGATACGGGAAGTGAAGAGCCCTGCAGTCAGGTGAGCACACACTGTCCTCTCGGGAGCCACAGCCAGGCGTGCAGGAGAATTCTGTGGATTCCAGTGCTTGATACAAAGAGGTGAGGCAGGACACTGACCAAATTCAACAACACATTTTTGGATGATTTCTTGAAAAACTTGTCTTGGGCTGAACCTTTCTGTGGATAAAGAGTTTTGAAGGTCTGCCTTCACTGAGGGGTGTCTTTTTCTAGACAAGCACTCTGCCACTGAGCTACACCACCAGCCCCAAAGGGATGGTTTTCTTAGTTTGATTAACCTGTGTGCAGACCACATTATCTCCCTTAGATTTGCTCTTATTTCATGGGGAGGAAAGGAAAGGAAAGGCCTGATCAACATCAGCTGGGCAAAGAGTCCGATGGCTAAAACCCAGGTGTACACACACACACAGCGCATAAGATGGTGTGTGGCACACCTGTGGCACACCTGTGGCACGCCTGTGGCACACCTGCACTATTAAATCTTGCTGGGAGTGATCAGGAAAAAACATCTGCATGTACCTGGAAGTTACCTCCAAACACTTACAGGCATGGGGCCTGCCAGCCAAGTCCACTAAGAGGTGCTAAACTGTGGTGATATTTTATCTGTGTCCCCCAATAAAGCTTACTTGGAGAACAGAGGAAAACTACAGTCACAATATTAATCATCGAGGTCAGGCAGTGGTAGCACACACACATACACACACACACACACACACACACACACACACACACACACACATACACACACACACACCTTTAAGCCTAGCATTCGGGAGGCAGAGATCCATCCAGATCTCTGTGAGTTCAAGGCCACACTGGGAACAGAGCCAGGAGTGGTGGTACACACCTTTAATCCCAGCACTAACCATGGAGGTCTGGAGGTCTGTACAGACAGACAGGAAGTGATGGAGCGGGGTGGAGAGAGGAAGTGAGATGGCAGGGACAGAAGGCACAGGCGCGGGTAGACAGGAAGTGGCCCTCTCTGGAGGCGGAGGTTGATAAAGTGAGGTTGGCTGTGCTTGTCCTATTCCTCTGATCTCAGGTTTGACCCCGCTATCTGGCGCTGGGTTTTTATTAATAAGACCGTGTAGCAGTTTGTCTACACTGACCAACAAGTAGAAGGCAGCTTGTTTTGTGGGACTGGGGTTTGAATTCAGGGCCTGCTCACACCCAAGCCTCTGAATTGAGACTTTGGCATAATGTTTTTGAAACACTCTGAGAAGGGCTGCACAAGTGGTGAGCTGACCTGGCATGAGCAAGAGCTCATCTTCCTCCCCAGGTGTTGAGAATGGGAGTGTGGAACCAAACAAACAAAACAAAACAAAACAAAAAAAGCCACTTTTTAAAAAAGCTTTGTTTCTCAGATATAAGAAAAACTTTTCCTTTGGAGCTATTTATAGGTTAGAGCAACTTCCGGTGCCGGAGGCCATAGGTGGGACCAGTTAGCACATGCTAAACCAACCCACTAAAAATGAAAATCAGTGAACTAGAACAGTGTACACTTGTAATCTCAGCACTTGGGAGGCTGAGGCAGGGGGACCACCCCAAAAGCCTAGCTATAAAGTAGGCTGCAGGAAGTCTGGAATTCCTGGTGAGACCTTGTCTCAGAAACAAAACAAACAGAAGCTAGAGACGGACATACACCAGGTCCTTACAGGAGGGGCTGTGTGAGACGGGGCAGCTCAGACAGGGGAACCCAAGCCTGGGGGCCAGCACACGGTGACAGCTGGGAACTCCTGTCACTGGTGTCCTGGGGTGCCGTGTGCTGGCCGTCCTAGCCTCCACTGACTCAGTGGATCTGAGGCCACCAACCACTATGACATTTGCTGACATCCCCAGGTGCTGCTCGGTCCTCAGGGCCAGCCTGTTCCTGAGTGTTCTCTAGACAGATTCACACAGGTGCTGCCCAGGCCTCAGGGCATGTGCTGTGAAAACATCATTCTGGGTTTGGGGCAGTTCTGAGGGTCACACTCAGAGTGTCACCCATGCCAGGAGCATGCTCTACCACTGAGCTGAACCCCAGCCTAGGAATTTCTGATTTGGTGACTTATGAACTTGCTTTTCTAAAAAATTCCCCAGTGACCACAGAGGTCATTGAAGCTTATGTAAGCACGGAACCAGAGCAGAGCTGGGCAGCTGTGACGTCCCCCAGGACATCCCTCTACTGCTGTTCTCCATAAGCACACCTGAACTAGAATGTAGGCATGCCCACAGTTTTCTACAGAGGCCTCAGTGCCAAAGAGAAGGGCTGTGGGGTTCTCAGAGTCAGGTCAGCCTAGCAAGGTGAAAATGGTTAGTTACCACCTGGCCATTTCACAGAAAATCAGTATTTGCCAAGCTCTGATGCAGACAAGCAGTATTATGGATCAGTCAGCACTTTGGGGCATTAGTATTGAAGGTTTACAGGAAAGAATTTCTCCAACAATGGGACCAACGAGCATCAGACGCTGAGATCATGGGCAATGAAGTAAAGTGATTTCACCTGCGATTCACATGGAGGCGTCTCCTACCTCTACTAGTACCCAGCCCTTCACTGGTTTGCACTGAGGGGGCAACTCCAGGATGTCCAGGTGGTACACGCCACCCAGGGTGGAGAAATGGCACAGGTCCACCTCCTTCTCCTCATTGGTGTGTGGGAAATCCACGCTGTTCTCTACCAGGCGCAGCTGTGCTGAAATGAAGCACAGTTAGTGCGGTTTCAGATCAGACTGGAGCGTCGTGTGTGTGTGTGTGTGTGTGTGTGTGTGTGTGTGTGTGTGTGTGTGTGTGTGT